ACCAAATTCCAAGTTGTATATTTTTCTTTCAAGTGTCGATGTTTGCTTTAATATTTTAAAAACTAACACAGCATTTAACCATTTTATAAAAATAAAACAATTTTTATAAAATTATTTTATTTCGAATAATAATTTTTTTGTTTTTTTGTTTTAATGTTCTGTTCACATATATCAGAATATATAAAAATAAAAAATTAATAAAAATACTTAATTAAGATTATGTGAAAACAATTTCAATATCTTCAACAGTCACATGCTTGGCTCAGGCGTATACGTATTAATTCACCTAGTTATCGAGAAATCAAGTTTGAATCTTCTGACCATTATATTTTCTGCTTTGGTTTTGCACCTCTTTACTATTACACCTTTCTATTTGTTTTTTTATCATTCTCCTTCTTTTTAAGGCTGCACTCTTTTAGGTGTAATTTTTAATCAAAGTGGCCCTTTCTTTTTACCGGTCAATTTCAATATTAATGTTATAAATGTTGTTGCACGATTAGCAGTTACAATACCAATATGTTGTATTGTTATTTTGAATTTGATTTTTTCTTTTCTAGCTTGCAAATATGATGGATAATGTTTATCAAGATGTTATTGATGAATACTACATAATTGATTGTCGTTACCCCTATGAGTATGATGGCGGACACATCAAAGTATGATTTTTTTTTTTTAATCTTTGAACAATGATGCTTTAATATGTGTAATTTTTATGAATCCTTTTTTTACTAGCCTAAATTTTAGGTGTTTTTTAAATATCTATTCTCTGACTAGATGTTTTGTATATACCTATGTTCTAACTGGATACTATTTATAAATCTGTTCTGATTAGATGCTTTATATAAATCTATATTCTTGTGTTTTGAAAAAACAAAGTAAAAATTTTTGATATAATCTGTTATAATTAAGTTCGTTTTGATCTATCCTCGCTTTATACATACATACATACATACATACATACATACATACATACATACATACATACATACATACATACATACATACATACATACATACATACATACATACATACATACATACATATATATATATATATATATATATATATATATATATATATATATATATATATATATATATATATATATACATTGTTTTAGGAAGGTTTTTAAATGTTTGAAATAGCCAACTTATAAACAACAAGAACATTCCAAATTTTTTACATTATGTTTGATGAAAAGATTCTTTTAAAAAAAAAGTTATTGTGATAGGAGAATGGGAACAAGAAACACTAAAATCTTAGCCACTCCCACCCCCACCCCCACCCTGCCCCAAACGTGAGAGCAACAAGTTGATGAAATTTTTTTTGTACTATTCTCAACTAGACTTATATTCAACGAGAAATTTTAAATTTCATAATAAAATGTTTTAATGTTCAAAAGTTATGACCATGTAAAGTTAAACCCCCCTCAATTTGAATGGGCTGCAAACTTTATATGGTCATGACTTTTGAACAATAAAATATTTTACTATGAAATTTAAAATTTCTCGATGAATATAAGTCTAGTTAAAAATAGTACAAAAAATATTTCATCAACTTGTTGCTCTCACTTTTGGGGCATGGGGGGGGGGCTAAGATTTTAGGATTTCTTGTTCCCATTTTTTGATTTTGTTGATCTTGTTCCCATTTTTAGGATTTTGTTCCCATTTTTTAGATCTTGTTCCCATTTTTTGATTTTTAGATCTTGTTCCCATTTTTTGATTTTTTGATCTTGTTCCCATTTTTTGATTTTTTGATCTTGTTCCTATTTTTAGGATTTTTAGATCTTGTTCCCATTTTTTGATTTTTTGATCTTGTTCCCATTTTTTGATTTTTTGATCTTGTTCCCATTTTTAGGATTTCTTGTTCCCATTTCTTAACACAGTAATTTTTTTTTTAAAAGAACTTTTTCATCATACATATGAACATAAAATTTGGAATGTTCTTGTTGTCCTTAAGTCTGTTAATAATATAGTTGTTCATATTTTATAGGGTGCCATTAATATTTATGAAAAACAAGAAACTGTTCGTCAGTTTTTAAAGTCTCCAAAAATTAAAAATGGAAAACGAATTGTGTTAGTATTTCATTGTGAGTTTTCTTCTAAAAGAGGTCCAGAAATGTAGGTTTTTAGTATTGTTGTTGACTTCTTAATGTTGTTATTATTTTTTTTTCAACTGTTTAAAACTAGTCCTTGTACTTATATAAAGCATATTTTTAATAGATTTAAAATGGAGTTTAAAAATGGAAATATTTTTTTAAATATTTTATTTTGCTAAAGAATAGTTGTGCAATAAAAGATTTTATACACTCTATAATAATTTTTTTTATGCACTCTGAAAATTTATTTTTATACACCCTGTAATAAAGTTGTGTGTTTTAGGAGTCGTTTTTTGCGTAACAAAGATCGTGATATACATCAACATTGCTATCCAAATCTTTATTACCCAGAAATGTATATACTAGAGGGCGGTTACAAAGAGTTCTTTAACCAAAAAAAGGTTTATTTTGATTTTCAAAAAGTTTATTATTATACTAGCAGTGACTTTTATACTAGTAACCTGTAAAACAGTTTTAGATTATTATAAGAAATACCTAATAGCATAGTATTTAATTTTAAGGTATTTTATTAACATTTAAATTGTTTTTTAAAGTTGATTAAAGTATTAAAGCGCTATATTCATGCTTTACTACTTTATTCAACTTCAAAAGCATATATACAAATAAACAAACTTTAAAGACAAGCATTTCTTGGTGAAGCTCATGATCCAAAAAGTAAGCACTGTAATTTTAAAGACATAGTGGTAAAACATGATAAAACCTTTTTTCATTAAAACTTTTTAAAATGTATTTTTAAAAAAGTTTCAAATAATATACTTTTAAGATCTCTAAATGGCTTCTCAATAGTTTTCCTCTTGTTGTGCTGCTGCAATTTCCAACTATCAGTTTCATATCTATAAGTAAAACAATTCTCCAGGAAATAGGCATCTGTTTACTATAGCTAGAAACCATTGTAAAAAAGTTTTGTCTAACGCTGAAGCCCGTTATTTTCAGGTCACGAAATCTTGTATATCATCTTAAAAGTTAGGTTTTTGTGACTTCTGAAGAATCTTTAACAGTATCTATAATAAGAGCAAATCTGTTATTTCACCTCTCTTGTATGATTCAGATTTTGTCACCTCACTAAAGACAAAGTTAAATTGTTTGCTAAGAAATTCTCATCGATATCATCTCTTGATTCCACTAGTTCTACCTGATATAGCCAACAAGCAGGTTGGTCCATTGCTTAACCCTCGTATCACTCTAGCTTCTGTATCTAAAGTGACTTCCTGCTTAGATTTCTACAGCTTGTGGTCCGAACAACAAACTCGTTGTAGTCTTGCGGATGTGTTCTCTAAAGCTATTGTCTATACGTTTAAAAGTATTTAACAAGTGCTTAACAGAGTCTTGTTTTTTAGCCTGCTGGAAAGCAGTATCTGTTATTCCTTTTTTCTCAAATTCTGGCGAGCGATCTGATTTAACTAACTCCTGTCCCATTAGCCTTCTTCCTATTGTTAGTTAGGTTTTTAAGTCTTTAATAAACGAACACTTAATCTCTTATCTTGAATCTAATTTTTTTTTTTTTTCCAACATCTTTGCTTTTAAAAAGGCTGCAAGCAACCACCATTAGTGTAAGAAGTTACTGGAAGAGAAAAGTTTATAGAGCAAGAGAATGATTGACAGACAATTTAGAATGTTGCAAATTATATAAGTCAGAAAGCAAGATGAAAGAAGTGAATTCCAAAGAACTGATTTTCGAGGAGAAAAACTAGGCAGATAAGAGTTTTTAAGTAGTTAGGAACAGTTGCAGAAATAGAATGAGACTTACTTGAATGGAGAGTAATGCAAGAATGAATTTTAGTAGATGACACAAGAGACGCTACCTCTTTAGAGCAGTGCTCATTATAGTATTTGTAGAAAAGAGAAAGAGAAGCAATATTACGACAATGTGATAATGGTTGGAGGTTGGTTGCAATAGCAGGTTTAACTGTGTTTGAAATGTGTTTTTGCACCTTGTCTAATAAAGAAAGGCCATCATTGAAAGATCTGCCCCATATATTGCAACAGTATTTCATACAAGGACGGATTTGAAATTAATACAGATAATGAATAGAATCCGGAGTAAGAAAGTGGCGAGCACGATAAAGAGATGCAACCTTAGCAGATAATAGTTTTGCAATGGATTTGATATGTGGTTACCAAGAAAGATCAGAAGTAAGAGTTAGTCTTATAAGATGATGGGTAGATCGGTAATGTGCTAACTAAGTACATTACTATTCATAAATATAGGAAGATTTAATTTATTGCGATAACGGCTGAAATTGGCTAAAAAAAGTTTTTATCTGAATTAAAGTTCACCAATCACTATGAGCCCCAAGCTGTAGCAGAAGTTACAGGAGACAAAGAAGGAGCTGTCCATTGAGAACATCTTTTATACAATAATTGGAAAGAAAGGATTCAATAATCTTAAAGGTGTTTCCTGATACACTGTAAGTAGCTTATGGAGAAGACCAAACTTTATCTAAAGGTTTAGAAATGTCAAGAGCGATAGCCTTAACCTCTCCACCTCTATCTAATGCATAATAAAACCTATCTGTTATTACTGTTAGCAAATCAACTGTAGAATTAGAGATCTAATTCATTATTGAAGATCTAAAAGTAAATTATTAAATTTGCGATGAGAGATTAAGTGTTTGTTAATTAAAGACTTCAAAACCTTGCTTATGATAATAAGAAAACTAATGAGACAGTAGTTAGACAAGTCAGATTATTCTCCAGAATTTTTGAAAATAGGGATAACAGATGCTGTTTTCATGCAGGCTGGAAAACAAGATTCTGATAAGCACTTGTTAAATAGTTTTAAAAGTATAGACAACAACTCCGGAGAACACTTCTGCAAGACTATAACAAGTATGTTGTCCGGACCACAAACTGCAAAAGAATCTAAGCAGGAAATCACTTTAGATACAGAAGTTGAGTGATACAAATTTCAAGCAATAAATCAACCTGTTTTTCGGCTATATCAGGTAGAACTCAACTAGTGGAATCAAGAGATGATATTGGTGAAAACCAAACCTACTTTCTCATCATCAATATGTATTTTGGTTTTCTCGTTCTACTACTGATTTATCAATGATAATAACCAATAGGTTTTATTGTGCATTAGATCGAGTTGGAGAGATTTAGGCTATCGCTCTTGATATTTCTAAAGCCTTTGATAAAGTTTTGCTTGCTGGTCTGCTCCATAAGCTCTCTTCTTACAATGTATCATGTAACATCTTTAAGATCATTGAATCCTTCCTTATTAATCATAGTATAAAAGTTTTCCTCGATGGACAGCACTCTTCTTCATATCCTATAACTTAATGGCTTCCTCAAGGTTCTATCCTTGGTCCTATACTCTTTTTAATTTACATCAAGGATTTCCCAGAAATTTTCTTATTTAAAGTGGCATTGTTTGCTGATGATACTACCATTTATTCTTGTCTTGATAAGAAGCCAACACTTTCTGATTGCTTGGAGGGGGCATTTGAGCTTTAAAAGGAACTCATTTCTATGGCATGAGGCTCTTGGTGGCTGGTGAATTTTAAATTCAGATAAAACTTAATTGTTTCTGGCTAATTGTTATTGCAACAATCTAGATCTTTCTATATTTATAAATGGTAATGTACTTAATGAGTCATCTACCCACTGTCATCTAGGATTAACTTTTACTTCTTTCTTGGAAACCGTATATCAAATATACGGTTATATTATATTAAATATACAGTTATATTATAATAAAGATGCAGTTATATTATACTAAATATATGGTTATATTATATTAAATATGATCTTTCTTGGAAACCGTATATCAAATTAATTGCAAAATTGGCATTTGATAAGGTTGCATCTCTTTATCGTGCTTGCCCACTTTCTTACTCAAGATTCTATTCTTTATTTCTATGAATCTCAAATCCTTCCTTACATGGAATACTGTTGCCATATCTGATGCCCTTCCAATGATGCCCTTTTTCTTTTAGATAAGGTGCAAAAATGCATCGTAAACGCAGTTGGACCTGCTTTTGCAGCCAACCTCCAACCGTTATCACATTGTCGTTATGTTGTTTCACTTTCTTTTTATTATAAATACTATAATGGGCACTGCTCTAAAGAGCTAAGGTCTCTTGTGCTATCAACTAAAATTACTCTTGTGTTACTCATCATTCAATTAAGTCTCATCATTTTACTGTGATTGTTCTTAAGTGCTCCAAAAATTCTTATTCGTTTAGTTTTTTTCCTCGAACATCAGTTCTCCGGAATAAAGACCATTCATCTTGCTTTCCTGATTCTCATAATATGCAATCGTCATCTGTTAATCATTATCTTGCTATATAAACTTAATTTTTTCTGGAAGTGAAGATGTTGAAAAAAGTATATCTTTTTTAAACAAAAACACTTCTCCCTTTTTTTTTAAAAAAAATTTTTTTAAAAAAAGTTTTTAATTTGCTTTCACATATTTTAATCTATGATGAAGAGATTTATGTATCATGTAAAAAATTAGTTTATTTTCAACTTAATATTTTCTGAATAAACTTCGCATAAACAATATTAAAAGATAGTTCAAATATTCAAAAAAATAGTTTTTTTAAATGTAAAACTGCTGAATTCGTTTTTATTGCGAATTTTTTATTTCGTGTATATTGCGATTTCGCTGTGTAAATTTTTTATTTCGTGTATATTGTGTTTCCAAGTTATCATTTTTTATGTAAAATATAATGCTTCTTAATAAGGCCTGCTATATTTATTATGAGTAATCGTCAATTATTACATTTGTTACTTTATATTATGGTTGATTAGCTATGTACACACTAAACACAAGTAATATGTCAATAATGATAGCAAGTGTTAATATTTTGATGGGTAATCTTTTAATTTTAAGACTTCAAAAATTCTCTTGGCCATTGAGTTGCACAATTTTATTACACAATTTTGGAGTTTTCTTTTGCAATCAGACCTACTCAAATGCGTCTTTAAATGCATCAACTGTTGTTACTCTTGCAAAGGCAACTCTGGCTTTCACTATGTGAAACAGATTTTCTATAGGATTTAAATTTGTGGTTTTCGGAGGCTAAATAAATGTTTTTATATTATTGCCATTTATCAACATCCTTGTCATTCTGCCAAAATAGTTACAGGGTGGTTGCAAACCATGCTGTAACTATTTTGGCATTATTTTGGATGTTGATAAATGGCAATAGATGATCTTCTAATACTTGTTTGCATTAATAGGCCAGTATTTGTCTTCTCTCGTTTTTTGAGAAAGCATAGACCATTTTGTCCTACAGCATCCATACACCACCAAATCACTATTGGTGAGAGATGCTTCAAAGTTGGTCTTGTGTAAGTAGTATTGCAGGGGTTTGAACTACATGGTCATTGAACATATTGTTCTGCATGTGCAAATAAGTGAAAGTCACTC